AAAAAAAAAAAAACCAACCCGTTCACTGTCAATAGTGCCAATCCTAATACTTCTGTCAGGAAATCCCCATGATATATATCGATTTGGTAAAATGAGGGAGCGGTTTGCTTCCAATGCAAGCACACCGCCCTTTTCATAAGCTATCAAAGATCCAACAGCTGATTTCAATTCTAAATTTAACACTTGTAAGAACAGCTTTTTTTCTGAAATGATTTTAGAGAATTTTTGATGAAACTTAACAGCGGACCTTTGAGGGGCTGTGTAGGAACTTTCAGGGAGTCAAATGAATGATAAAAAAGTCGCTGTGTTGTAACTCCCGGTGTAGATGAATATACGTTCGTATATGCAACTTTCTTCTGTGGATGAGGCTTCTTAAACAATTGCGATGGTATCTGCCCAAAGTTGTTTATAAATCCAATCGTAGCATTTCTGAAACGGCGCAGCCAGATTTACCAAAACATACAATGGAAGCGATTTGTTAGGACGCAAAACTTCATTGGAAAGCCTAGCTTTTTGTTTAAAATCGTACAGATTCGCCAACTTAAATCCAGGAGTCGCAAGACTTCGAGTTATAACAAACAAACAGTTATACAAAAAAAAAACAGATCCATTACCTCGTTAGTGGGTCTTCAATGTTTTCAAAATCCACATTGCCCTCGTAAAACAGATGATGATAAACGTTGTTGGCCTCAATAGCTGCATCACCCCGTTGTTTATAGCCAAAAATCAAGTCTATCCAATTATGCAAATTTCCTGACACATAATCGCATTCAAGCGCCTAAACACTGTGACAATATTCAAACTGCCAGACTGGGAAACAAGGATTACGTAAAATGTTGCAGAAGAAGTTTATGCACTCATAAATGAAAATACCTGGCGATGTACACGAACAAATTCCCTGGCATCGCCTTTTGCCCAGGGTGGAAGCACAACATCACCAAGCGCCACACCATTCTGTTTCACGCCAAAATCGAAATTATTCGAATTTAAAAACATTTCGGGAAGGGAGAAAAACTCTGGGATCAGTTCTTTAACATCTGCCATGTTGTTTCGACTTGCACTAAGCCAGGCATCACCGACGCTGTGGAACATTCGATCAGCTAAATCAAAATGGCCACCCTGAAAAGTCCCACAACAATGTGCAAGAATTGAAACTATTACTGTGGTCAGATCTAGTGTTCTTTCACAGAAAGAAATAATATTTCCCATCTGAAAATTGTTCCTTTGGGTTTTTTTCCGTTGAAAAAGCCAAACTAAACATGGAACATAATTATACAGAGTCAAAAGTGTGAAATATGTAAATCAATGAACCTGGAGTTTCAGAAATTGTTGCGTGAAAGGCTCTAATCGTACAAGGTACGAAACAACAATCATGGCACTGCTGTAATGAGTGCCATACATGTATGCTGGTGTTTCACCCGTTGGATCATCCCATTCCCGATAGCGCTTCAGGAATTGCTCTAAACGATCCGAATTTTGTGCTCCCATCGGTTTACTCAAATCACGGAAAAAACGTGCATCTGTCAGATCCAATTCCTACAAGAAAAATCTGTTAAAAGGAACAGGCCTAATACGGGAAATTCGTAGCAGATGTGTAAAAGCAAGTTTATGAAAAAAATGACCTCCGATTCGTAGTCACGCAGAATCCAAGGAAACACCGGGTACTGCGAGAGGTCATTGTATGACCGGCCTGCCAGAGTATTTAAGTGCATCAGATACTGGAAATTGCTTATTTCACCTCGGACCCAGCGCTGTGTGACGGACTGCTGACCTGCAACGATTACTCTTCATTGGAAACTACAAATGAGTGCGTCTTCGTTCAGTATCACCCCATCCACACTTTTTCTTCTCACAAAATTAAGCAAAACACAACAAAAATATCCTGGGTAGCCCGGATCTCCTAATAAAACAACTCGACTATAAAAAAAAATATGCCTATAAATGAGGTGAGCAATGAAACACGACTGGTCTGCTCGACTGGTGCAGTTGGTCTTTGTCCGCCTACCGATTCAGATCCGTTGTCTTTCAGCAGCCTTGCTAACGACACAAACCTGTAAAAGACACATACTTCAGATTTCCTGCTGAAAAAATGAAGATGAAAGCTCTAAGTTTAAAATCTGACACCTACGTTTCGCAATTCAGCTAAAAAGAATAAGAACAAACTTTTGATAAACTCGATTGCGCATACGCCTTGGAAAGGCCAACAGATAGTTGCGGCCATCTGCTGAGAACACTTCAATGGCGATAGGCTGCAAAAGATAGCGTCGACGATGCACTTCACGAATATCGTTATAAGAGAATTTGCTACAGAGCCGAGTGCGTCGTACAGGATGAGTTGTACCACAAGCCATATATGGTACAATTGGATCATGCAGCCTGAAATGAACTTGAAAGACAGACTGTTCAAACAGCAATACAACGACTATCAAGCACTCACTCTTGAGGGAGGAAATCCAAATCTCTGATTTCCCTCGTCTTAAGCAGTGTGAATCCATCAACAACGTAATAATGCTTTCGTCCGAAAAGTAAAAGGCCTTCACTGGTGTCCAGACCTTGCACTCGAGCACAACGGAACATGGAGTGCAGCTGCTCGCCCTGAAATCTAACACAGTATTACTACAAATGACAAATTTGTGTCGGAATTTGCAGCGTCAAATAATACTGCACTATTGTGAAGGCAACGCGTTTCTTGGAAGTGAAGAAATCAAGCACGACTGTTCTAAAGCATATTTTGGCCGCTAAAACGATTCCGAAGAAAATGCCTTTAAATTATCACTATGGAAAGGAATATTAATAATTTGTGAAGAGGATAAATACACGAATTTGGAATTTCCACTGATAAAAGATCTAATAAGATGGCAAACATCCAACAATCAAGATGCAAAAATCTTCCGAAGTTCAAAAAAAAAAAAAAAAACTCAGTGGCTGGAATGTGACCTAGGCAGGAGACATGAAAATCTGAAAAATACCTGTTCAAGGAGTCTCAGTAAAGTCTGATTGTCCGGTCCTCGTTTCCGCTCGACACTTCCGTATTTCGTCTTTCCAGCTACCTCTTCTCTCTCCTGAATACTATTCCTCGTTTCATTTTCGGCGTGCTGTTCAGTGCCTTGTTCATCGTCAACACCATTTTCCTCGACATTTTCCTCTTCCCCATCATTCGTATCTTTTTCATTTACTGCCTCATCACTATCTCGACTTTCTGCATGCTTAATCGACACGCGGCGTATCATCGATGAACTGACCTCTTGAAATGTCAAAATTTCAGCGCACATGAAAAATACCATTATAATTTAGGGCTAACGCAAGAACACACCAACGCTACAGTAATTTAAAAGCACCATAGTTAACGTTAAATAATGAAAGGAAAATGAAGAGACAGCAAGGGGGAAGCGTCTAATTAAGTGTGAAAAGAACAAATTTGTGCTAAAATCTGATCTAAATCAGTTAGCTTTTCGATCCTCTGAAATATTGGCTCTGGAAACACTAGAAGATGGAGGATTCGCATTTGGAACGAACTTTAAATCACACACTATTCCAAGAGTAGCACAAAATTCTATCAAGCAGGCATAATTAATTACTTTTTTTTCTCGTTACTGATAGAACCAATAAGTTCCTAGTTCTGCTCTATCTTTAACCCACCTCGTACAAGCGGCTCTAAATTTTTGTCCAGACCGATTCTCCAATTTCATAGGTAATTTCTTCCGGCTTTAGAACTGCATGAGCATCAATCAACAACCTGTTTAGTCCAGCGATGCTTAACAGCAAGCCCCCTCCCCCTTCCGCCTCCAAGTCAGTAATAGCAACCCAAACCATGTACTTAAGCAAATCTGAGGGAACACAACTAAACCGGGAGAGAGTCTTAGAAATAAGTTGGAATAAACAATGCAGTCAGATCAGTCCAGTGCACAGAGTACAAAAACATAGGAAAAGACACCCCACAAAGCAGTACTGTAAGTTTCAATAAATAGCGGTGCGCACCAGGGCAGCCGGTGTGATCATGCGTTTTGTGTAATTCCGCCCACCGAGCGATTGCCTCCTAATGATTTTCACGGCTTTGCATTTTGGTCTGTGCAAAAATAGTCGAATTGTTGTATGGTTCATAAATTGCGGAACTCCCCACTAAAAATTTCACGCACACGAGATAATAATTCCTCTATCAGAACTTTGACGGGGCTGTACGTGGTACCCAGGTGTGCGTGAAGGCTGAATCAAAATTTCCAAGATTGTATGTTGGTAGAGGAGACCACCGTAAAATTTCAGATTCCCAACTTCCGCGGTCTCCAAGATAATAATTTTCCCCACCGAAACTCTCACGAGGCCGTAAGTGATACTTGAACGCTCGGGAAGGCTGAATTAAAAATTACAG